TATATTAAGTGACCAATGTATGATGGATTTTAGCTAATGGTATGCGCATTATGTCATATACCACATAACAAAACAATATTACAAGGGCCAAGTGGGAGAATGTAAAACCAATTATTTGTGGCCAATGTAATATTAAAGAAATTAATTTAAGGTGATTAATATTACTAAAATCCTATTGGCCCAATTGAGAAATGGTAGTTTTATAATTGTCTACTTTGATGGAAAGTTGAGAGTTTTATGGCACAAAATGAGACTGTCTCTCTCTGCCTATAAATGTGAATGAAACCCATCAATTAATTCATTCAATAAAAGAGAGGAAAAGTGAGAGAACGGTTTCTTTAATTTAACAGTTTATTATTTTGCAAATCTAAAATTCTCAATTATTGCCATGGATCAAGGTATGTTTTTTGATCAATTAAATTCATATGTGAAAATCATGAATTCTAAAGATCTTGACATTAGGGTTTAATGTCTTACAAGAAATACATTACTTTTGATTTTTGTTTTTAAATTTTTTTACTTATATTACGTTATATTAAAATTGCACGTCACTAGGTCATGACAGCACTTCATCATAAAATATTATTTAATATATTGATAATAACTCACATATATATAGGTTTAGCAATAGACGAAAGCTAGCGTGTGGAATTTCTCAATTCTTTATTTCTCATGTAGCTTATAAGTCAAAACTTTTAATGTAAAAGACTGTACAAACGAATTTTTACTCATTTCAAAATGATTTTTGTACTGAAGATTCCCTTCTATTCAAATTCCTTTCTTTCAATTTTATTTTTAGTGCAACTTGGCTGGCTAGAGCACAATAATTTTCATTTTCCTGACATCAATGAAATGAATTGTTCGGTTATATTACCTGATGCAATTTGAAAAAAATGAATAGAGTCTAATTTAATCCAACATATTTGACTAGACAAATTTTTCCATCATTATCCTGTTTAGTCTAATCTAATTAAACATGCTAAATATATTTATATTCCTCAATTAACAGCATTTGATAATCTGCAGTATAATAGAACTCCAATCGACGAATCGTCTGAATACGCCAGATATTCGATAATATTAGGCCTCAAGAATGTCAATGGAAGGATTCACAACAATAATGTTGTTCATACTTGCAGCCACAACCTCGTACCATTTGGTCCTTCGAATGTTGAATTCCTCGTCCAAGGAAATGTGTTAATAGAAATAGTTGACACCAATCTGGTAATGAAACTGAGTATGGATGGGATTTAAATTCAAACTTTTTATGTTAAAACTGAAATTTACTGCTGCAGAAATGTTATTAGAGAAAGAAAAGGCCAAGAAGGAGGTGAAGATGAATTGTAATTATATTTTGTCCTTTATAGTAAAATTGCTGTGAGTTGTTGTGTTATCAAAATCAACTCCAACTCAATTGACGGAATCACTAGCAGCAATCTGGTAAAGGAATAAGTCACATGTACATTCTTTTGTTCACATTATGGTTGACACTCAATTGATTTTCAAATTAAAATGGACGGAAAAGTGTGTTTCATTTAAAACCGTCCGTTCATTTTATGACACATGCTACAATGTCAAAAATGATGTCAAACAAAGTGTATATGTAACATGATTGAATAATCATTAGGTTCTTGATCTGCATGCAAAATGCCGTCCAATTGTTTGGCCAGGGCATATGGACTAGGAAATTTTCCACCTGCAAGAAATTCCTCAAGAACTCTCACGATATTTTCTTTCCACCATTTCACCAGTAAAACAAGAAAACCAAATATAAATCAATATGCGTTAAGACTTGGGTTCTATCTTAAAAGGTTAACCTTATTAAGAAGAATAAATCAAAGTTTTATAATTTGGTCTATATTTTCATCTTTATTCGATGTGAAATTTTATTTTTTAACATACCCCCACAAGATGGTGGTTCTAATACCATGTAAAGATTTGAGGTTTCATCTTAAAAGGTCAACATTGCTAAGAGGAGTAATCCAAAACCTTTTAAGTTGGTCTATGTTTCCATCTTTATCCGATGTGAAATTTTATTCCTTAACATACTCTCACAAAATGGTGGCTTAATTGAGCAAACCAACCTTTAAATTTGTATAGTCATTTTTTTGTCTTAATCAGATTGAATTGCTAGTTGGAGATTAATGGGCTCTGATAGCATATTAAGACTTGAGGTTCCATTTTAAAAGGTCAACTTTTTTAAGAGGAGTAGTTCAAAGCCTTATAAGTTAGTCTATGTTTC